ATTCTTCCAAATTCATTAATCATTGTAACTTTCAATAAATACATGAATAACTACTATATCTTTCACAGTGATTCACACGCATGTAATAAACGCAACAAGGCCTTTACTACACCCAAATCAAATGTGCATTTTAAGGAGATAGCTAATGGATATCCTTGTCATGTGAGCATTTTATATTAAGTTAAATCCCATTATAATCAACGTAACAATTTGAAGATGGCAGACTTCTTGGATATTGTGACGAGTAGTCTAGTAGATGTTTACCGACGTTTCAGAAGTGTTTGCTGCCTCAATCGTCAGGGCGATTACCACCCCCTTAAACAATAAAGAAAATAGTAACAATTTTACCTCAAACGTCGGCGACTTTAACAGTTCGACACTGTATTACACCCCAAAACGTAAGCCTATAATGAATAATATAACACTGCGAAATCGTTGGATTTAATATCACGATAACGTTTGTGCATACAGTCACTTGTGAACTTGAAACAAAATTAGAAATTTTGCCAACACATGACAGCAAACATGATGACTGATATGCAAGTTTTATTTTTCATCAGTTTCAAAACTGACTGGCGTATCGACAAATTTCGGATATGAAGTAACGTTATGATGACATGATACGGTTCTTTGCATCTTCGTTTTTATTGATACATTTGACAATTTGTTGATGGATGTGCGTGTATATTCGCTTGCCAAACCAGCGATAACTGTCGATCTTTGAGACATGAACAGAGCCTCGCGTGTATCAGTCCTGGCAAATACGCGTTATTATACATAGTATACGACAGGCCTGTCACATTCGATTGCCTACCTGAATTACGAAACGTGAGATTAATGCATTGTTGAATAAATGTTCTTCGAACACAAGAAAACGCTTACAATTTTTCACAGCCAAAATGTCACGCTCCGGCAACTTAACAAGAATATATAAATATTTATGTTCAACTAGAATACAGGCGTGCCTCGTTTTATTGCGCTTCGCAGATATTGCGTTTTTTACAAATTGAAGGTTTGTGGCAACCCTGCAAGTCTATCGGCGCCATTTTTCCAACATGTGCTCACTTCGTGTGTCTGTGTCACATTTTGGTAATTCTGGCATTTTTTAGACATAATGCTATTGCACACTTAATAGACTACATTATAGTGTATACATAACTTTTATATGCACTGGGAAACCAAAAAATTCATCTGACTCGCTTTATTCCGGTGGTCTGGAAACGAACCCGCAATATCTCCGAGGTATGCCTGTACTTCAGTTATTTTCCGTTGATAAGATTCACACAGTCATTACATATGTCATATACTTAGTTTTTTTTTCCCCCCCCCCCCTCGACTTCTATATTAACTCTAGAACACTCAGGTTGGTATCAGGGCAATTCTTTCAATGGATTATGAGCCCTCTTTCCAATTTATATTTGACTCTGTAATAAACAGTGTTGTTAAAGAAGCGATGAATCTTTCTACAATAACCACAAACACTCGTCTAAATTTAGAATATGTAGACAAACAAAGTGTCTTTCAAAAGTCAGGGGTTATAGCAGAAGTCGATTATTCTCGAAACAGGAAAGATTATAAGGAAAACGTTGGTTCAAATCCGTGTTTCCAGGTAGGTCGGTAGGTAGGTAGTTCCTTTCCCTCGATAGGACGGGCCCTTACAGCACTTCACTCCTTTTATTATCAGTAGCAAACGTTACGCCGACGTTGTGACGTGTACATCGGAAAGGAAAAGTGTTTCCAGAGTTTCCTGCATTATTTGTTTCCCCTTTACTGCTTCTTCTCATTTCTTTTATCACACGTCGCTCTTTCACTGTCATGCCAACGTGGTAACATCGCACGAGATAATGCAAAGACCCAAACGCCGTAAAGGATCGTCCTGGGTAGAACACTTGAGATTGCAAACAACGCGATTCTCAACAACTGTTCCCACTTTATATATTTCCGCATTTTGTTACATAAACCTTAGGTCAGAAGATGGCTGTCTTCTGGGTTGTTGAGGCGTGTAGTCTGGTAGAAGTTTACCGCCATTTCAGAGGTTCCTGCTGCCTCCATCACCAGGGCGTACCAGACTACACGGCCCAACAACCCTGAAGACAGCCATCTTCAGACTCACCGCCATGAAAATCTAAAATGTTACGACCTTGGGTCAGTCAGTACAGTGACTGGCTCCGGACTGGACGACCGGAGTTCGATCCTGGAAGTGGGCAGAGGATTTTTCTTTTAGCCTCTGCGTCCACACCGGTTCTGGGGCACACCCAGCCTCCTATCCAATTCGTACCTGGGATCCTTCCCTGGGGGTAAAGCGCGGTCGGGGCTCAATGCTGACCACTCACCCTTCATAATGCCGAGATTAAGAATGAATAGGACCTATAACGCCTCTCCGCTCAAGTGCCTACATGGCGTATAGTGGGACAGCTTTACTTTACTTCTTACTTTAACCCTGTTCTCCTATGACCCCAGATTTACCGAACACGCTGTAATATTTAGTACCTTACCTACAGTTCACAAGACAGTGTCAAAAGTGCGTCACAAATGTACAAATCAATTTTGATCCTGAATGACAGAGTAGGGTATATCCATCTCCTAGCAGCTTTTTGTTTATTTATTGTTTATCGACTGTTTTTCAGTAGCTCAGACTATACAGCATCGAATGAGATAATGGCAGAATTATGAATTGGAAAAGTGTGGCCTAACTTAATGTAGTATCCCGGCCTGGAGGGCATGATGAAAACCACGAGAAAAACCCAGTCAGGAAAGCCGGTCTCCGGGCCTAGATTTGAATCCGGGATCTCCCGACCATGCCCAGTTTCTTTGTACGGAGTATGACCTGAATTTGTATCTCTTAAGATCCGTGAATAGATAGCCAATGCTTGTACGTCTATGTTAAGAAGACAGACATCCAAAATAAACATGCAGGAGTAAAGCAGAAGGTAACTGACATATCATCTAGAGTAATGGATTATCTTGTGCGGAATAACTGGAAGAAATTCGCCAGTCATAAGAAACGTACTGATACTGGATCACGCCAAAGTGCGTGTTCTCTTATCAAAAGCGGAGTAAATCTCGGAGTAAGTGGTATGGCCAACTGCAATACCAAGTAAAGTCACTTGGCATTCTTCTATACAATTTGTAACTGAAAGAACAATTTCTCTGGGTTAATTCCAAAATGGAAATGTGAGGACTAAATGAAATGAATAAACATACAAATAAATAAAATATTACATACAATTAATTTTAATTCTATCATTAGATGTATCAGACATTGTAGATTATTTTATATTAACAGCCATATATCAACTGTGTGCGAGAGGACATAGAAAGAATTTAATAAATTCTAAGCTGTGGATTGTGCTGTTCTGGGATGTAACGCTGTGTGGTCTGAAGGGTGGTTTCCAACGTTTTGGAGGAACATTCCGCTTACATCTTCAGGGTATAAATTTCAAACATTAAGTCTGAGATAGCGGACTAGACGACGTCACAACCCAGATGATCACAACCGACGTATTCAATGCCGCAAGAAATTCACATCCAGAACCATTTTAGGTAATTTAAATAAGTGTTCTTTGTAACTATGTAGACAAACTGTTTATCGATCAATAACGAATACGCAAGGATTTGAAGAAAGACAATTTGGACGTGTGTTTCACTTGTCATTGTCTAATTAATACTTTGAATTATCATGTAACTGCATCGAGTATTAGAAAATAAAATAGGTCATGTTGATGTTCTTTAGGGTTCTGGGGCCGTGTGGGCTGGCCGTCAGATGCTACCGTTTCCAATCAGATTCTCACCAATGCCACTTTAGCCTTGAAGATGAAGAAAGTACTCTTCTCCGAAATGTTATCACCTACCGACCAGTACACAAGACACCAGAACCCAAACGAATACCACCAACATCGCTACCGCCGAGCAAATTTAAAATCTCACACATAAAATGGCATGGTCACCTAACAAACATTCTCTCATATACAGGGTGAGTCAGAAGTATGTTTACAAACTTCGTGTGCGTGTTCCAGGATCAAAAATAAGAAAAAAATGTTCCTATGAACATGGATAGCAAATGTTTCATTTTCGAAATAATAGCCAAAATAAGTTTCAATGAATTGACTTTATATCAAAGTGAATCCAGCTTCCAGCAAAGATTTTCAATTAACGTTTGG